TAAAATGAAAAAGTATATTAATAAGAATATATCGTTAAAAAGAATATATAGTTACTAACATGTAACACTAATCATTTATTTTTTATTCAGATTAATTTTTACCATAATTAATGAAGTGCATATTAAAAATGAAATTAAATTTATATATCTGTTTTTTAATTCTATGAAATCATTGCTATTTAAAAAATTTAATTTCTTTATTTGAAAGTTTAATAAAGTTCATCATTGTATTATAAAAGATCCAAAAAAAAAATCATATTTGAGAAGCTTTTTATTCTTGATATTAGAAAAATAATTAAAAATGTCTGGTAGTCATTTGTCAAATTTAGGAAGACATCTGGAAAAAAATCACAACAATGAATATCTAAATTATTTGAATGAAAAAACAAAATATCAGGAAATGTTATTTGCAAAAAAACCCAAAATTAATATAGAAACCTTTTTTCCAAAAAATCTATAAATATAAATTAATAATCTAATAATTTAATGAGTTCTATCATAGAACTGGTTACTGTAAATGGTCGACCTCTATTAATTATTGAAAATTCGGGATTTCAAAGAAATATAAATCCACTTTTATCTGGGCTAATTTAGTTAATTTATCCTGAACTTTTAATCGAACAGCCCAATCCATTAGAGACAAAATATCAAGAGAGGTAGACGGAAAAATATTAAATTTAAAAGTTGATGCAGTTCAACCACTAGACAGGTCAATTATTGGTGTAAATATTTAATTTATATCAAAGTCCATTATAATTTTGAGAAATCTTAGAATTGTAGAGCAAGGAAAGAATTACAAGAATATATTAAAAACTTTACAAAAATTTAAAATTAATATTAAACAAATATACACAATTAATTCTGACAATGGTGCAAATTTTATCAAAGCTATAAAAAAAAACTCTTGCAGACATCTTGTAAATATATGGAGTCGGATTAAAAGCATAACAACGTCGATTTTATATGGTGATATTAGTTCTGACGAAGTTATTGAAAAAGAAGATGATCTAGAGAAATTGATACAACTTAAAGAAAAGTAGAAGAAAATGCTTAAAAGAGGGCCAACAATTGCAGAGAAAAGTATTGGAACTATAATTACAGGATTTGGCGATTTTAAAAGATTAGATAAGAAGGAAAATATTTTGCATTTTTGGGAGTCTGCTAAGCTGGAGCACCCTGATTTATATATTTTATCCAAAATCCTATTTTCTGTTCCTGCAACCCAAGTTAATTTATCATATTTTCAATAAATATATTTAATATAGGTTAGCGTTGAAAGATATTTTTCACATTTGAAATTCATTCTTTCACCACATGGTTCGAGGATGAGTAAACAACTCTTGAAATTATGCTAATATGTCTAAATAAAATTTATTGATACATGACTATGTTTTGTATTTTTAAATATAATATTTCCCTGAACCGAACCCGAACCGCTTATTTTCTTAATGAATTAGAAATATTTTATTTTTTAAATTTAATAATTTATTGCAAATTTATGACGTGCCTTTTATAACCATTAGTATTATTGTTTACATGTAAAGAATAAAATTAGTATTTTAAAAATTAAAATTGAAATCAGATCAGATCACTAGCAAGTATTTTTAGGTTATATTTCACGCTTTTATGTTGCTCCGCTCCATAATTAAGGATATTAATAAAACAAAGAATTTTTAAATGAAAATATAATATTCCGTGAAGGGTTTTTAAATTTCAGGTGTGATTAGCTAGATAATTTGTCGTTATATAATATGATCCGTTGTCGATTACAACCAATTGCTATTCGATGGTTAATATCTACCAGATTTTAGATGGCTACTGTGGAGAGCGAGATTAAACCTCTACTATACCCCTTTCTAGGATTGACTCGAGGGTTGATGATATCCTCCCTTTGTGCTTATTACGCAATTGTATTTGAATAATGGGTGGGGTTGTTTGAAGGCATGACGTGTGATTGGTACTATGACGATGAATAATATTTACATAGATTTGGTGTTGGAGATTTAATCACTAACGGCAAAGGGAAACTTTGCTGCTGATCCTGACATGTTTTTGCTATAACTTTTCTGAAACTTGCTCCAGTTGCACATCTACTCTTTTTGTACGGCCCATGAATCATGGTAGGGAAGCTGGACTATAGATTTAAAGCCCTTGACATATGGTAATTGAGTACTCATAATGACTAAATGAACTGAGGACATAGCCATACATAACATGCTCATGTATCGTCTGTATTTAAGATTTCCAACCTAAACTTTCCTCAATCATCACTGTGTTATCTCGTGCGTTTATTCACTTATCTATAAAATAGCTTAAATGCATATAATTTGTTGCTACGAGTTTTTACGGATTTTTTCCTTCTTCAATAGAAACTCCTAATTCGTGGGGAGAAATATTGCCGAGAAATTTGTGTTTTAACGAGCAGGGCCAAAATTTTGTATTTAATAAAACCGAAAAGAATCAAAAGAATTTATATGATTCTTATTCATCACGAAACCTTTATACTTGTCTCGCCAAGCAACTTACACAAGATTTAAGAAAATTACTACTCAGGCTGTGTTGATTTTATTGCGATTTTATAGATGAAGGTTATATAGAATAGCTGAATTAATTTGAATATTATTTTAAACCTCTAATTTATTATTACCATGAGCACAAGTTTTTCACCCTGGATTATTTTTAGCCTTTCAAATCATAAAAATATTTAAATTAGTTACTGCTGTATAAGCTCCAGAATCATATTCTATCATGATGGCATTCCCGTTGATTATATCTCATGTCGTTGCTATTGAGCCAGATTGTTGCAAAGTTTAATCGAACTATCTGAGTTTCTTCCACAGCATTTATTTGAGATCTGTCCTGGACTGTGAGGTATCCGAATCCATTAATTATCATTTTGGACATTTATTTACTTTTTCATTTGGGTTATTGTGATTTTTGGTTATTTCCTTGCTTAGATAAGGCTTTTCAATTATGAATTTTATTGTAGTACCAATTTCGATTTTGACTTTTTATTAAACTGATAAATTTTGCCAATCCCTATTTGAGCTTCCCCAAAATTACTCGATTTAATCGGAGCTCTTCTAAAATTCAGTGCAAGGTTAATCATTTTATTAAACTTCATTGGTGTATTCTAAATATTTTCATCCGTACAATAAGTTCTCACATTATCTAAAGCAGGTGAATTAATTCCTTAGCCTAACATTTATGATAGCTTCCTCAAAATATAGACACCAACTCAACGTTTTAATTCATTCTCCAATTGGAATACTCCTGCTTTCGGCTGCATCTGGTAAAATTTATCAAATAAAAAAATTTGGAAATCTAAGATTTATAAGGAAAATTTTCGGGAGCAATTTCATCCATATGCTAGGTGGTCTTTTTAATATTCGATAATTTTTTGGTAAAAAATACATTCATTTTTATTCTTTCTATATAATTATAGAAGGGCTAAAATTAACCTATTATGAAATTTATAATAATATTTTAATAAAACAAACAATTTAATTATTTCTCATTTAAAAGTAAATCACTCAGAAACTATAATCAAATGCTTACATACCTTTATCTCCTGAGTTGAGATAAAAATTTGTTTTAATTAAATTTTTTTATTATCTCGACAAATTGCTCCGTAAGCCCAAGTCCTCCATATTCATTACAACTTATTTTATGGTATATAGAATAGGTCATTACATCTAAGATAAAATAAAGATTCTTCTACAATATGAGAATAGTTTCAGTTTTTAAAACCATATATTTAAAATTCTATTAAAGAAAATGTAATTAAATACTTTTAAGAAATGAAGGTGAGTGGAGGGGGAGGGGGTTTACATTTTGCCTTTTACAAATTTTATATTCTAAAATTAAATTTTTTTATAGACCAATAGATAGTTCTAAACGACATATTTGAAAATATTTTCAACATCTAAGTTAATTTTGAATTTTGTATCATATTATGTATGCTTCGTTTTGAACCCTATTAATGGCATCTTAATGACGACTTTAATTATATTTCCATTAAAAGTTTTATTAAGAAATGTAGTCTATCTCATTACTTAAATTTATCCATTCACACATTATTTATTTATATTTAATTTTGAAATAATATAATTTAGTCATTGTGCTCGATAGAAACAGATCATTCTAGAAACCTGATAGAGATAGAAGGAAGAAGCCCCCCAGCTGATGTAGCGCTGCATACATTAGACTCATATAAAGAATTCAATATTGCTTTCAATTGTACAAAATTGTAAAACTTCCATATTACATTATTTTAAAATCATTTATCCAAATAAATTTTTTTATCTTTTGATAATTGAATTGAATAAAATAAATTATATTGTTTTATAATTCTAATAATAATTAAATAACGATATATTTTTTGAAATTTAATAAATTTGTTATAAAACGTTTCCGATTCATTAAAAGAAAAATTTTCAGTCAGCGATTGACTTCTAAAGGAAAAGTTTTTAAAATTAAAGACAGTTCAAAAGAATTTTATTTTTTTACTTTATCCTTCTATTGTTATTTTCTATTTTATCTGAATTTATTACTGCGCTTAATTTTATTTATTAAATAAGTTTAAAAAAATGAAATAAAAAATACTCTTTTTATTTCCCTTGTAAAACATGTATTAAAATTACTAATGTTGAAATTTTTATAATATATATTACATTTAATCTAAGAAGTTCCAAACTCATTCATTGTATGTGCGAAAATAACGCGACATTGCATCCTATGCTTAGATTACAAAATAAAGAATAATATAATAAACTATGCTATCGTTTAAAAATGATCATCGCTTCGCTTACCCACCTATTTTTTTTATACCAATTTTCCTAATAATATTATTCGTAAAATGTGTTATTTACCTAATAAATGACATTATCTTTCGGACATCTTTAAATCTTGAAACTTTAATTTTAAGCTAAATTTTTTCTATTTTCTTTAGACTTTACATTCATTGATGAAACTTATATTTATCAAAATAAATAGGGACTAAGCATTATAAAAATTATAATTATAAAGTATTATATTATTAACACATATAAAAATGTAACTGTTTAATAACTCACATTTAAATGTTTTTGTTTAATTATGTAAGTTTTCCGTTAGTTTCTTCTGGAAATTATGCACCATACATTAGGCAAGCTATCATATTAAGCTGGCACTGTTTGATATTATAACGTTTCATTTCTTTTTCATAAAGTCTTTTCACCAATAACTTAGTTTTAAACCCCATATCGTCACCCTGGTCGTATATATCTGTTAAAATCTTTGAATATCCTCTTGATGGAATTGAGTCTCCGACCAATTGCTAAATAAAAAATATTATTAAATTATAGTCGCATAAGTTTCAAATTATAGCTGGTTTATTAAGCAAACTTAAAACTTTTTGATTGATAAGGACAAATTTAGTTAATATATATATATATATATATACTACAAAATATAATTTGTTTTAAAATCTGTTTTAAACGAAATGAATACAAATTTCATTTGGATACCAACATAATAATAGGGGAGATTTGGGTTAGTCGGCACAATAACAGAGATTCGACGTTACCTCGCCAATAATAGAAACTTTTTAAAATATATATATAAGTGAATATTATTCACTTTTTATATTAAAATATAAATTATACATAATTTGACAAATACTTTAATCAAATATTTTGTAAACCCCGAGTGTTAAAAAAAATAAACGTTAATCTTACTTCTTTTTTTTACATAACATGATTTTCTTGATAAAAAAGGAGTTTAGCGACCCCCACATCTTTCTTAGAATGATAGCATACTACCCCTTTTCGCTTCCCCATCCTCCACCCTTTATTTTTTATGGAAATACATTTTAAATGATAATCATAAATGTTTGAGTTTTGTGAAGAAAATATTCCATTAAAAAAAATAATGGGTCAAATATAAAAGGTAATCTTCGATGTTCATCTAATAAAAATGATATACTTTAAAATCGATATTTGGGGAGCAAGTAATAATATTATTTTATTATTATTTTATTTTATGTCATGTTAATTATTGAAAGTTGTAATTGATGTACCTATCAAAATCCTATTATATGTAAATTTAGATTTAATGAATTAAGGCAGATAGGATTATTGTTATGACTACAAGAAATGCAGATAATTTACATCATTCATCCCAATTAAAATTTATGAAGGCTTAGGAGATATTTTTGTGATTATGTATAATATCCTTTCTATTATAACTCAATCAAGCTAATGGATTTAGATGGCATTAGGTTTATAATAATTATGTCAAATGTTTAAAAATACGGGAAGAAAATTTATCAGTTAATAAATTTTATATAAAAATGTAGTTTTTATTATTAATCAAGTAATGGAGTTTTAAAAAATATTCTCTTGGATAACAGAAAATAAAATATTCTTTAAGTATATTAGAATTAATTATTTTTATTGTATTATTAATGTGGATTTCCAAACAAATTAAATAAAAATTATACGTCATCTCTTTTTAAAAAAATATTTAATCCAAGGAAGAGATTCAAATTAATTCAATATAAATTAATAAAGTATTAATTCTAAAAACTTAATAATTTCTAGAACAGTTAAGAAGATGATTGATGTGTACAAAGATATAAATGGATGAAGAAAATTTTTTTTAAAAAAATTTCAAATGAAAAGTTATTTTATAAAAAATATAATAATACAATAACCCCTTTATCTTATCATGTTTAAGATTTTATACTAATTGATCCTAACAATTTTGATGTAAAACTAATTTAGATCTCAGGATAGATTATTATATCAAATTTAACTAAAGTATATTTTTAAATTTTGACATTTATGTTTTTATCTTAAATAATTGTTTCTTAAATTAAAATCATTTGACTTAAAAATTGAGATAAATCTATAAATAATTTGAAGTAAAAAAATTAAATATAATATCGTTTTAATTTTATTTTTTAATTTATTTGATCGTTTTTACGACTTGTATAATATCTAGAAGAGAAGTATTAATAAATTACATATTTTTCTAACTTTGGGTGACGGCTAGAGGACAGTTTATATTTCACTTTTAGGTCCAAAAAATGATAACTTTGCTTTAGGAATTCTCATGGATGGCACAAAGGTTTGAACACCTATTCACAAAATCTCAAGACTTAAGCAATATTTTTTTGGCTAAAATATCAAATTTATCGTTTTTAAAAATTGGCTCAAATCGAGCTGTTTATAGCAACACTATGTTTTACTAAATAATTTAATTGTAAATATCGTTGGCGTACGCAGTGGGGGTGGGGCAGGGGGACAAATCCCCCCCCCCCCCCAAGCCAAAAAATGCAGATGCCGGATATATTTTTCAAAAATATTTTTGTTTAGAGTGTTGTACAGATTTAATTAAAAACATTTCCATATTTTTTAATTCGTTTGTAAATAAAAATTTTAACTAGTAAAAATTGATAAGAATATATAAATATGTTATTTTAACAACTTTTTACAAGTCAAATAATTTTATTTTCAAATAAATTAATAAATATGGTAATGTTTTGAATTAAATTTACACACTATATTAATTTATATTTGTTAATATTTATTCCTATCTCATATTAAATATATATTTAATTACATTTATTATCACATTCATCACTAAGTTTATCAATTAATTTCAATTTCAAATTTTCCGGCGTAATATTATCTTATTATTTTCAAATTTTTAGTGGCGTAATATTTAACTACCATTTTTTAAATTTCTAGTCAAATAATAATTATTCTGAAATTGTCCAACAGGGAGAAAGAAATTGCAATCTTGTCCTACGAGATAGAGTCTCCGCCATCAAGCAGTAACAGCTTTTATGGAGTTAGAACAGCCGATTATTTGCTATTACTGACATATCACAATGGCCTGAAAGAAATTTTTCCTTAGAAGCAATAAAATTATTGGATTCAATGCTTATTCCAAATTTTTTTTCTCATTAGAATGTACAACTATTTTATGTATTACTTTTCAAAAACATGATGACTTGATTAAGAAGATGAGAATAGCGGAGAGCATTTTATAGAATTTCATATTTTATAGGTTATTGTTAAGTCAAAAGCAGAGCTATACGTGTTTAATATTTGTCTCACTCGACTTGCAGCAAGGCAAGCTCATAGTTAAAACATTAATATAGGATCAGTAGAAGGGTATATCTTAGATACAAATACATTTATAAGTCAAATAAATGAATGGTTTTTAATTCATTACAACACTTATCAATCTGCAAATATTATTTCCATAAAAGCCTTCCCAACCTTTTTCAGATGGTGAAAGAAAAAAAAATATTTGTTGGATTTTTATCATGAAGATGTTAAAGTATCTTATGATGCCTTATTAGCTGAATGACTATGTTTATAAGATTAAATATGGTTGATACAGTCCCAAAAAATGCTATGGATGCTCTGCATTATTTCAAACACATTTTAGATTATATTCCCAATGTATTAAAAGGGTTTATATATATTAGCAACTCTTCCCAATAGTAAACCAATGAGAGAACATTCTCTTTTTTAAGAAGAATAACAGAGCCCTGCAGAGGTACCATTTGCAGGGCATGACCCGATTTTTTTAAAGATTTTTACGGCTAAGCTCAATTTTCAGGCACGGCCCGGCCTTTTTTAAAATAAAATTTTCAGGCCCGACCCGGATTTTTTTAAAATAAATTATATTTATTTTTGATTTTTATAGCTAATAATAACGATTTCAAATATAGGCTGTTTTAAAATATACAGTCCGGCCCGGATATTTTTTTAAAAAAAATTTTCAGGCCCCTAGATGTTTTTTAAAAATATTCATGCTCAGCCCGGGTGTTTTTTTTTTAAAATTTCGGGCCAGGCCATACGGTCTGTCCCGGAGGCCGGGCCTGCAGGTCTCTGAAAAACATACCAAGAAGTACAACTTTTGAAAGTAGCTTGAAAGGTTTGGATCTTTTGAATATTCATATACATTTGATAACAAGCAAGGATGAGATAATTGAAAAATTAGCTCAATCCCAACGAAGATTGGATTTTACATTGTTATAACATACAAAATACAATTATTCCCTAAGATTTTTGTGTATTAATTTATATTTCTAAAATTTAAATTTTTTATACTTTATATATAAATTTTAAAGCTCAAAAAATTCAAATTTCTATTTTGGGTCATTTAAGTGATTCTTAACATATAATTTTTTTATAATTCACATTAATTTAAAATTGTGGATTAGAAATAGTTATTAGTCCTAATAAATCTATGCTTGATATTTTTAAAAAACAATAATATTTCTTAAAAAATTTTATTATCCCCCCCCCCCCCCGACCAAATTCCCGCGTACGCGCCTGATAAATATAATCATTAATTTCTTTTTTTATAAAATTTATGATTAAATTTCTTTTTAATCTAGATTTATTTGTCATTCATTTAAGAATGGTCAGAACTCATTCGAATTCTTTTTCTTCCTTTACTTATTTCTATATCCTCTTTGAGTAAGTCCTTCATATTTTTTTTTACCAATTACTTAATTTCCACATTTCACCCAACACCTGATAATATCCACATTCCTTTTGTCCAAAAAACCTTAATATGCTCTTCCATTACTAATTTTATTGTCACTTATTTATGCGTCTATTTTGATTTTATCAATGTTCATCTCAGAATTCTCATTTGTGTCACCCCTCTTACTTTTTTTGTCACCCTTCTTAATAGTCGAACATGATCCGTTTGCAATCTTTTATTTCCTTTGTCTAAATTTTAATTTAAGAAACACTATTTTATCCGGCAAACCTCCATTTGTCTCAATCCATTTTATTTAATACAACCTTCCTCCTCTCCTAATCTTAATAAAGTTATAAACTAAAAACTTAGCTGATAAACTTAATGAAATTAGTTTGAAAATAAATAAAAAATCTCATATTTGTCAATTAATTGTAACCAAAAAATAATCTATCTCACTATTGACGTCTTGTGTATGTTTTGTTATATGAAAGCCAATTTAATTTAGAAAAGATTACTCAAATATTGAATATAAGAATAAAAAAATATCTAAAAATTTAATGATATTAATGAAATTTTTTTTTCCATATTGAATAATGAAATTATAACCAAAACCATTTTTAAAGATTTGGTGAATGTTTCAAAAATTTAACATAATTCCTTAAACTTTTTTGGAATTTGTTAAAGTTTTAAAATTTTTCGTGCTGGACTATTAAAAGTTTTGAAAACATCTCATAAAGACTTGAAAATATCAGAATGACATACAGATAATTTATAAAAAATATGTTGCCATAATAATTTTTTAAAATTAAATTTGAAAATAAATAT